AAAAACCTTTTTTGACCTTGTGCATCTTTGGATATTGATAGGTCTTTTGCTTTTTCTTTTCTTTTTTTTTGCAGTACTAGGATTTGAAATCAGGGCCTACACCTTGAGCCACTCTACCAGTCCTTTTTTGTGGCGAGTTTTTTCAAGGTAGGGTCTCTCTATCTGCCTGGGCTGTCTTGGAACCTCAACCCTCCTGATCTCTGCCTCCTGAGTAGCTACGTTACAGGTGTGAACCACCAGCCCCCGGCTGGCATAGGTCTTTATTATCTCCTACAATTCCTCCCAACACTGGATATATAAAAGTGTGCACCCAGAAATACTTTAGGTATGAGCATAGTTACATAAAAAACTTGCATAAAAGTTGATTGAAAGCAAATTTGCTGAAATGGAAACACCTGTTTTGGTTCGGTTGTGGGACTATGAGTGGTTTGGATTTTTCTTTTTTGCAGTGCTTGGGATCAAGCCCAGGGTCCCACACATGGTAGGCAAGTACTCCACCACTGAACTACACACCAGCCCCATCTTCACTTTTCTTGATGAGTAGCTGTTACATTTTTCATTATAAAAGGATTGGAAATTTTATCTGCCCATTTAATAACTTATTTTCTTTCTACTGCACCATAAACTTGTGCTAGTCAGGTTTTTTGTTGCTGAGACAAAATACCTGAGAAACTCAACTTAAAAGATTAATTTTGGTTCACAGTCTCAGAGGTCTGCTGGCTCCATTGCTAAGAGCCAGTGGTGAGGCAGAGCATCAAGGCAGAGAGGGTATAGTAGAGAAGAGCTGCTCACTTCATGGAAGCCAGGAAGCAGAGAGACAGAGAGGAAGTAGCAGGGACATAATACACTCTTCAGTGACCCACTTCCTCCAACTAGACTCACCTCCCAGTTTCCATCATCTCCTACTAATGCCATCAAATTATGATCCCATCAAAGGGTTATTCCATTGAGTAGATAAGTGCCCTCATAAGCTAATCATTTCCCAAAGCCCATTAGCTGGCAACTAAGCCTTTAACACATGAAATTTAAACCATAACACTTGTTAAACAGAAAAACTTCAAAGAGGCCACTATTAACACACACATATTTACAAAGTGTAGTATAGCAAAGGGCTAATTCTGGAATCACTTTTCTTTGTAATCATTGTTATTTGCTAGCTGTCTAAGCTTCAGAATACTCTTAATTTTTTGGCCTCAGTTTCCTCCTATATTTACCTCCTGGGGTCATTGGAAAATAAAAAAAAATCTATGTGATGTGCTTAAGAGAATATGTGGTTTACAGCAAACACTCTGATTAACTTTAGCTACTGTCAGCAACAGTTGAAAATAGAATGGCTGTTATAATCCCCAAACTTGCAAACAAAAAAATTGATACTCAAAATTAAACGACAGTCACTGTATTTGGTGACATATCTTAGTAAGTACAACTTGTCAATTAAACATCTTACAAAATGTCTCCACTGTGTGCTATTCAAGCTGCACTTAATTTGGTCCCAAATTTAATCACACATCTCTATTCCATACATGAACACGTTCTTAAAAGCTATCTAACACAAACCAAGAGCTTCAAACCCCTAAGGGCTCAGTTCTAGTTCTCTAAATGTCTAGGCTTATTTTCTAAAATGGGTTTTTTCAGGCCAAATGTTTCCCAGAAACCTAACTGACAGAATGGAGCTGGGGAATGAGAAGACATGCAGTTATGTCTTGGCTTTAGTACAAATGCAACCGGCTGCCTTTCAGTCAGTCAAATTTTGAGACATTTGTTCCCTCAAACATAAATTAGGAAGAACCATTTGCTTTCTTATTTCAAAGATGGTATAAGAGGCACATACAACTTGCAGATCTGGGGAAAGAGTTCTATATAAAATTAGGTATTGGTATTCAGTGTTTTGGACTCATGATAAATCATAAAATCTTCTCTCCTTCCTCTTCCTATTTGTTTTCTTCTCTTTATCCCCATTAACAATATAATGAGTTCCAAACGAAATGGACTTTAACTTGACTGTGAAGCAAATTAGAGTGTGAAGAAAAGGTAATTAAATAGTACCCATCACTCAGGAAGTACTGCTAAGAGTATGTGATGGTTAAGTTTATGTCAACTTTACTGGGCCTCCAGGTACCCAGATATTTGATCAAACGCTATTCTGTTTCTGTGAGGATGTTTTGAATGAGATTAATTTTGTAAAGTCAATTGCCCTCCCTAATGTGGGTAGGTCTCATCCAGTCAGCTGAAGGCCTGAGTAGGAAGAACAAAAGACTGCTGTATCTCCTGCCTGACATCCTTCAAACTGGGACATTAGCGCTTCCACTCTCCTGGCCTTTGTGACTCAAACTGGGACACTGGCTCTGTAGATTTTGGTCCTGACAGTGTCCATAATAGTGTAAAATAATTCCTATACTACAAACATGTATATTTGTATCTCTATATATTTAAGGCTCTCTGTATTCTTCTCACTCTCTATTATTAGCCGTTTCCTTGGAGAACCTTAATACAAAACAATACTATTATTATACTGAAATTCTCTAGATAGAATTTGAGAGAATTTAGATCATGCTTGAAAAGTAAGGAAAGCAGGGTTTTTCTAACAACAAAAGTCATATATAGACATAGCCTGCAGTCTGGTATTTATGGTGGAATTAAAAAGACACGTAGAGATTTTTCCAATATACATCATCTTCCGGTGACTTCTTATCTATCCTGACCTGCAGCTTTGGAGACTATTACCATTATTATTATTTTGGCAGCATTGGGGTTTGAACTCAAGGCCTCACTCTTTCTAGGCAGGCACACTGTCACTATCACTTGAGCTACTCTGCCAGCCCTTTTTTTATGATGGGTTTTTTTCAAGATAGGGTCTCATGAACTATTTGCCTGGTGCTGGCTTTGAACCATGATCCTCCTGAGTAGTAAGGATTATTATTAATAGAGAAGTCACTTACACAGCTCAGGAATCTTCCCATATTGATGTGGTCCAAGAAGGGTGGAGGGGAAGATGGCACTGAGGTTTGTTTCCTTGGGTAATCTGGTCACTGGATTTTACAGAATTCCATGGAGGTTTTTACAACATCTAACCATGGCCTTAGCTCATGTCAAGTGCAAGCCACTGCTACAAAAGGATAATTATAGGCAAGTAAAGCCTGATGTGAGATGAAGTAGTGTCCTGAGGACACAAGAAAAACCACCTAAAGTTAACCTGTAGATAGTAAAAAAAATGAGGAACCCAATTATACCTCAGCAGTAGAGAGGCACAGTGAATTAGGGAAATCAACTTTGGAGTAATTCTAGCTAATTAGTAGTAATAAAGAACAAATCATCATACTGCAGAAGGCCTGCCCTGCACTAACAGCCCCTTTTCCCTGCTTATTTGGTCACTTGCTACTCTGTTAAAAAAATAAAACCAAGGCAGTCACTATCCCAAAGCTCTGACCTCAACCCTTTTTTGGATTTCTCAGAACACCCTGTAGGGAATTCTTGTTTTCTTTTTGACCAAACACCAGCTGAGTGGTTGGAGGGGCATCTTGTCCCAAAGACAGAAACATCTCCAGGGAGAGGGGTACAATAATATCCATGTTCTACACAAGTTCACCAAAAAAGTAGCATCCAAATGATGGGACCTGATTATTTTTATATAATCACATTTCTACTGATGTAAATATTTTCTTCTTTCTCATCTTATGTTTTCCTCTTCTTTATGGAAAGAGGCATACAAAATTAGCTATATTTTAGTTCCTCCTTTAATTAAGGCCCAGGCCTATCATGTTCAACAATTGAGAGAGAAACTTCAGAAAAGCTGCCAGGCCAGTCTCTGATAATACTCAAAAAGGCAGGCAGATCCTGAGTCAGCAAATGGGAAAAAAAAGTATATTCACTTTTTAAATGATAACATCTCCAGTTTTGCAGGTGTTAATCAAGTACTGAATTTGTACTAGGCAACTGGTCCTAAGTAATGGGTACTATTAAAGTAACAAACAGAATATTTACCTTCCTTTAAAAAGAAGGTATTTCAAGAGGAAAGTCCATTTCTACAATATTAGAATTACCAGTATAAAACAGCACTTTAATAAACTCATATTAAAGGCCCTAACTACTAACTACCATGACTATAAGACCCAGTTCTCATTCATTTATGATCTTGTAGGGATTCAAACCAGATAATAAAAATCATTTTTCTCTGCATATAAATGGAATTTGTTACTCCAGTATTTTCAATCACTGTAATCAAAGCCCTACCTAAAAATGGTAACACAAAAGAGAATTTCAAAGTCATAAGACTGAGCAAGTTATATCAAGTAGCAATAAGAAAAAAGTTGGGCATGGTAGTGCACTCCTGTAATCCCAGCACTTGGAAGGCTGAGGCAGAATTGTAAGTTCGAGGCCAGCCTAGTCTACATAGTAAGACTCCGTCTAAAAAAACAGCTAACCAGCTTAACAAATCAAAACAATGACTCCCCTTCTCCTTGGTATTTGGCTTTTGGACCTTCTTTTCATTTTCTTTTAATACAGGGATCTCACTATGTGGGTGATTGTTCTGCCTCAGCCTCCCAAGTGCTGGGATTACAGGTGTGTACCACCACACTGGCTTCCGGCCTCTTTGGAGAGTGATTTTCAAAGTCTAGTGTGTGTTCGAACCACTGGAGAGCTAAGAGAGCATACAGAAGCTTTACATAAAAAAGGCCTGGGCTTCCATCATGACTAAGTTCTCTAGCACTGGTTTCCAAACTCAGTTGATCAGAATCACTCAGGAAGCTTTGAAAGGAACACATTCCCAGGCTTCAGCACTGGAAATTTTGACTCAATAGGCTTGAGATTAGGACCCAGAAAAATTTAAAACATGAAAAAAATTTAAACAAACTCCAGGTGGTTTTGTTTGTTTGTTTTTTTGCAGTGCTGGGGTTTGAACTCAGGGCCTACACTTTGAGCCACTCCACCAGCCCTTTTTTGTGATAGATTTTTTCAAGATAGGTTCTCTCAAACTATTTGTCTGGGCTGACTTCAAACTGCTATTCTCCTGATGTCTGCCTTGTGAGTAGCTAGGATTATAGGCGTGAGCCATCAGTGCCTGGCTTCCAGATGGTTTTGATAGGCCACATTTGGGAACCACTGACTTAGCACACTTATTTGAGGCCTGTCCAAAAACTTCAGGCCTATAAGTTCACTATGAATATTCATAACCCTGGGTAGGCTGTAAATCATTATCCTGGGAAGAATTTAACAAATTAAACTGTCTAGAAATGATTCGATACTAAGAACACTTCCCAATTTGGCACTTAAATTACCTAATGATTTTCTGTCTATCCATTTTCCACCTGAAGGCCAAAGCCCACGCATAATGTTTGCTTCCTGTGGCTATGAAGTACTACCCACCCAGTGTTCATAAAACTGCATTCCATTCTGTTAACCTCTTCCTCTTCCCTTCGGTCTGATGTGAGAAGCAGACCTATTTCAGGGCACCCAGCCAACTGATATCACTTGCAGCATTATGCATCAAGATTGTCTTGGTGCACACCTGTAATTCCAACAGTCAGGAGGCTGAGGCAGGAGGATAATGAGGACAAGGCCAGCCTGGACTAGAAAGTGAGACCTATCTCCAGAAAAAAGAAAAGGCATCAATGTATAACTCCAAATCCCTGCCTCTACCCTACTGGTGAACAAACACTAGAAAATCCTAATGTGAGAATTAGTTTCTTCATGGGACAAAATATTATCATTACACAAAATAAGATGTTGAAAAGCTTGACCATTCTTTTGTTTGTTTTTGAGACAGAGTCTTGCAGTGTTAACTCAGGTTGGCCTTGAACTGGCCCTCTTCTTGTCTCAGCCTCCGGAGAGCTGGGAGAATTACAATTGAATTAATTTAAGAATTACAATTTTTAAAACACAGATCTGATTTCTAATCCTTCTCACAAAATTCCAGATCACAAATTGAGGGATGAGAAGATGGTTCTCCTACAGAAGGCACTTACCGTTGAGCACATAGGCCAACAGTAAGTCAGAGCAACATCCAGGAGATGCAGAAATAAACATAAGTCACAATGTCCTTTCTAGTCAGTTGGCAAGACAGTTCAAATGTTCTTAAGTTTTTTATGCTAGGTGGGAAGCCAAAGGGAAGAGATAAAAAGACCTCCTAGAACTAGAACGGGATACAAGCCAAATGCTACTAGCAGCAGGTCCAGCTGGAGGAGGACTTGGTTTGTAGATTGATGTAGTTCCCTTGAGTTGACAAAGACATGCTGTCTTCTCTGGAATTGTTCATCATCTTTTCAATGAGGACCCTAGAAAAAAACAAATGAAAACAAAGCCTGAGAAGCTAGATGGAGGAAAGGGAGAAATGGCAGACATTGTCTTGTCATCAAACAGCATTCAGTAAAAATATTAGCCATAAATGCCCCTTTGTCCCAAATTGTGGTGGGAGAGCAGACAGTATTCCTGACTTTCAGGGGTTGGCATTCCAGTGGCTCAGTCTTTCTTGTTTCCTCAGAAACCAGAAAAGAATGTCCATGGGGCTACAGTGGAAGGTAGATAAATCTGTGTGCCTGTCCCCAGAGTGGCATGAATTACTCACCTCATGGCCTCATTAATATTTTTGTTCTCCTTGACTGATGTTTCTGTCCAACCTGTGAAACCATTCTCTTTACTGAACCGGTCGATCTGGTCCCGGTTCACTGCCCAAGGGTACAGATCACACTGGCAAAGAGAACACATAAAAGGCAACACCATCAACTTTCAAGGAAGAGGAACGTGCTCAGATACCTATGGGGTTAAAACATTTCTTCATCAATGGCTAAGAATGCTAGCATCTAAAATCTGCAGTCAATACTGTTCCAAAGAAAGTCATGCTCTCAATATCTCTTGAAAGGAGGAAGAACTGATTATGCCATCTTGAAAAGGGGGAACAAAGGTCCAGAATCAGAAGGCATTTTAGAGATGCTTACTTCTGGCCAAAGACAGATTTTCCTAGATTGGCCACATACCTTGTTGGCCAAGAGTAGGCAGGGTACTGGCTCTCCATTGGGCAGTGTGAGCTTGCTGTCCAGGTCCTGCTTCCATCTCTGGCTGTTGCTGAAGGTAGTGGCATTGGTGACATCAAACATAATAACACAAGCAGAGGCATCTCGATAGTATAGTCGTGTCATAGAGGTGAAGCGCTCTTGCCCTGGGGAGAAGAGAGAGTTCTGCAGAAGGTGATTCTGAAAACCACCCTCACCACTCTCTCTTCCCTGGGAGACAGGGCAATATGTATATGTGGTAGAGGGGCCACTCACCTCCCTCTGACTCTTGGTTTTCTATCTATCACACAGAGGGATTATTAAACCCAATTATCTCCAAGGCAGATTCTGTACCCAGACGGCCGAGTTTTAAATCCCTGCTCTGTCATTTACTATCTATTCGACTTTAAGCAAATCAGGCTTGTAGTGCTTCAGATTTCTCATCTGTAAAGGACAATAAAAGCTTTCATGACAGGGTTGTTGTGAGGATTAATGACTCAGTAAATCTGAAACACTTAGAAAAGAAGTTAGCACATAATAAGGGTTCGTTATTATTACTGTTTCTATTTTCTGGAGATCTTGTTTCTCACCAGGGTCAGCTAAAAACCTAGAAAAAGCACCTGCCCCTGCAGTGGGAGTGTCCATCTATGAACTGGACAGTCCACCACTTTACAAGCCCTTTCGCCCACACAGAGAGTGTACCACATCTACTCAGGACAAAACATCTCCCCTGAATCATCTGTAAAAGCTCTACCTACTCAGCTCATGTGTCCACAGGGCAGCTTAATCATTCTAGCTTCAGGAAAAAATTCCTGGTTTTCCCGCCCCACTGTTTTCCTGAGAGCTTGCTGGTTAAATCAACATTGCTTCCCTTGTTTCTATCTGGTCTTCCCAGTTTACCTGCAATATCCCACAGCTGGAGCCGCACCATCTCTGAGTCAGACCACTGGAGAACCTTCAGAGCGAAATCCACTGAAAATATATGATATTATACTTTAATAAAGTTTACTTTAAAAAAAATCCAGGGATTAAACGAAGATCAAATATGCAATGACAACCCTAGGTACATGCAACTCCAATTCCCTTTATTTATTTTTAAGTCCTTGAAGGCTGAGTGGAGCTCACACTTGTGTGGGACAGATAATTCACACTCATTCTCCAAAGGGTTTCCAGCTTTTCTTCCCCTGTCAAACCAATTTATTTGATATTACTCGTCTCTATGGCTGGGGACAGGAGGGTGAGAATGAGAGTGAAAAGAACTTTGTTCTTAGGTTAAACAGCTTCTGGGAGACTTTAGGGGTTTTCTCAGTGAAGGGATGATGGGAAGATGGAGGAAACGAAGTAATTGTGGTCAATTTTGTATCTTCCACATTCAATTTCACTATTGGTTTCTAATCAAATTGTATTTTGAGAAAAATACACTCTGGGGAATTCTACATCCTCCATAAAACTATAGGAATTATCTCAGTCAGAAATGGGATAAATGAAGAAAGTCCCAGAGGACTCCTAGGAATAGGACACTACATGGATGACGCTTAAGAGCTGTACTGGAGGGCTGGGGGCATGGCTCAAGTGGTAGAGCGCATGCCTGGCAAGTGCAAGGCCCTGAGTTCAAACCCCAGTACTGCCCAAAATAAAAATAAATGCTGGACTCTACCCGCAAAGTAGATGCTGAGTCCACAAACACGTATGTTAGGGGAAAAACCTTTTTTGCTAAGGAGAGAGATAGAATAATTTCTGACGTTTGGAAATATATTCTTCCACGTCCATGACAGAAATAAAACTAGGAGAAACTCAGAATAAACACTAAAAAAAGGAAACTAGCCAGAGTTAGATCCTTTACCAAAGGAAAAGCAGTACAATTGGCAAAAATTAATTAGTAGGCCACTTAACCCAAATCCATCAAATAAGGACTCTCACATTATTGAGGAATAGGGGCAGGGTAGTTAGGAAAACAGTCTTTGAAACTTTAAATCCTTGAGTTTGCTAGATATTCTTAAGGAGGATATTTTAATTGCAAAATAAATAGTTGCTAATTTAAAAAACTTTCATATGTAACACATCAGCACACATTTTCAAAATTTACACTAGTATTTTTTTCTTTAAAAATTCTTCTAAGAGAGATAAATAAAAACTTTAATTACTCTTTCCCATCACCAGTGTTCTTAGCTAAATACCCTCTAATTAACAAAAAAGATATTTCTACTTCTGAAAAAAATAGGTCCGTTGAGTCCCAAGGCCAGGCTGGGAAACAAACGAGTTAACTCTTGGTGTTCCCTTCCTCCCTTCCCTGCCCAGTGTTGGAAGACAGACCACTGAAGTGGTGCATTCACCTCTGAAGAATTCTGCACATTCTTCCAAGAATTCCTAGGTTACCTTTATTTAAACAATCAACAGACAAGACCCAACAATATTAGCTCTGATGGACATCTGGGCCAAGGGACTCGTTTGGGGATCTGGTGTCCCCAGCCTCCCCCGCCCCCAAACACACACACAGTGCTCTCCACATCCTAGGGTCCCTCAGCCCAGTCAGCTCCCTGGGTTCTCCTTTCTAGGCCAAGTTAAGTACCTCTCTCTTCCTTCCTCAAAGCTGCCTGCCACTTCAGCGGGAGGCAGGGCCACAGCGCCCGCCGGTATCTCACCGGGCCCTACAGAGGGTCTCTGGGCCGGTGCTGGATGGACAGATTTTGCCCCAGACAGCTCAGACGGCTGCAGGAGCTCACAGATCGCCCTGGCTCGCACTCATCTTCCCCTCCCGTTGCTCGTCTTCACACCTTCGGATTCTATCTTTCCAGGCTGTAAAATACCTAACTGGGGGGTCCCAGGAGAGGTATGAAATGAAACATCCAGCTATTAGTCCCAGACACCTACCTCCAGACCCGAGAAAGGGCCTGAGGACATGCTCCCCACCCACTTGCGTGTCCATCTTGATCCGGATGGGTCGGGGTGCACCCGGGGCGTCTTACCTCCCACCGTGGACTTGTAGTGTTTGCTGAAGCTGTCCTGGGAATATCGCTGGACCAGCGACGTCTTGCCCACCGCCGCGTCCCCCACCACCAGCACTTTGAACAGGTGATCTCGGCTGCTCATGGCTAGCGGGGTCAGCGTTCTCGGGACGTGGGAAGTCGCTTATTTTAACCCCTTTGGCTCCGGGTCCTTTTCAAAGTGAAGTTAAGCATTTCCACCCCCAACCCCTGCCCGTCGAAGCTCCTCTGACGAGAAAGCAGAAAAGGAAACTTTGCACTCCTATGCGCGCTTCCTCCCCGCGCGGCCGCAGCAGGGGTGGGGCGCAGGGCGGGAATTCGAGCCCCCTCGGCGGTTCACACCTTCTCCTCCGCCCTGCCCCTGCGGAGCCTCACCCACAGGTACTGCCCCCGAGCGCCCCAGTCAGCGCCTGAACCCCGGCTCAATACAAGGCTGGGGACGGACGATAAGGGCCCTCCCTTCCTTGCACAGGCCAACTTGTGGGGCGTAGAGTCAATTCCTCCGCCCTGTCCCGCCCCTGAAGTCACGGACCCCTCTCTCGCTTTAATTCGCAAGCGTCACGTTCGGGGCTGCACGGAGAACTATGTTTCCCAGCGTACCTCGCGACGCAGACGCCTAGAGAGTACGGAGACATGCGCGCACAACCTTCTGGGAAATGTAGTTTATTTACTGTTGCGTTTTGAGAAAACCTACATAGTTTCAAGGTTTTCAAACTCCTCCAACCGTTCAGAATCTTATTTTAAAACAATTCTAGGCCAGGAATCATCCCTTCAGAGGAGGTCTGTTCGACATCATCTTGCCTGCCTAAATTTGTCCCCAGATCATTTTCTCATATCTTTAAAGGTTTTATGGAATTAATATTAAAACTTATTTCATAGCTGGTGGTATGGCTCAAACTGTAGGGAACCTTCTTAGCAATAAGAAGCCTTGCGTTCGCCCCACACACAAAATAAATAAAAATTATTCCATTAATAAACGCCCAAGCCTTACCTGCCATGCTCCAAACGAAGTCTATTTCCTATTTTTTTCATTTAGACAATCCCTGGACCTTATGAACATGATCGCATATTTTCCATATGATCCGGCAAATTCAGGGAAACGACCCAAGTGACCAATCCTTAGAAAAATGCGTACCAAAAGTTACAACAGCATTTGTTAACATTTCTACCCAGGAGGCAACAATCAGGAGGATTGGAAGCTAGCCCGGGAAAATAGTTCGCGAGACCCTATCTCGAAAAACCCTTCACAAAAAAGGGCTGGTGGAGTGACTCAATGTGTAGGCCCTGAGTTCAAGCCACAGTACTGCAAAACAAAACAAAACAAAACAAAAACAAAAACAAAAACAAACCAGTTACAGCACTTAATAATTAGCCATAGCAGTAAAGACAGATAACAAGAGACAGTTCCTCATTCACACTTCCACAATCTTTATGTTAGCCAGACCAACTCATACATGTATCATTTGCAACAAAAGGTTATTGCAGTACACTGGTATCCCTTTTCCATTTGTTGCTGCTATTTTTCCTCAACAACCATAACACTACAGGTTGGCAAATATTTTTAATTGTCTAGTCTATAATTTTTCTGACCTTCCTGTCCTTTAAATAGGAGTTAGTGGGACCTGAGCTCCATGGCAAGCAAAAATGAGCTTCATTTTCTATGCTTTTCCCAGGAAGAAGAGAAACCTCAGGCTGGTGAGAAAACAGCCCACCATCCAGCACAGTGAAATCTTGCCCAGGTGTCCTGATGGACTACTGCTTACATTATGTAAGCAAAGAACAACATATTCAGCCCAAAATGCTTTTGACCCAGGTACAGATGGTTAGGCTAGGCTACTCTCTTTAAGGACTCAAGTTTCTCAGTTCCTATTTGCCTTGACCTTGTTGACCACTCCAAACATTTGTTTCCCACATGGCTTCTGTGATGCTATTCTGTCTTTTTTATCGTCTTACTTTGATGATCACTTTTTTTTTCTTTCAGATTTCTCTCCTTCCTATCTCCCCCCTAAGTATTTACATTACTTTGAATATTTTTGCTTTTTGAGACAGGGTTTTACTTTGTAGTCCAGGCTGACCTCAAACTTATGTGGCCCAAGCTCCTCCTGCCTCATTCTCCTGAGTTTGCCACCATGCCCAGCCCTCCCCCTGCCCCCAATGCTTGATTCAGTCCCTGCAGGAATGGCCTTTTGGCCCATCTTCCCTGCATGCAATAAACCATAAAGATCCTTTAGAACGGATGCTTTCACATAACAAGGCCAGAAAATAGCCTTGATCACCAGAGGCTGGTTAATTGGGGCTCTATTGAACCTGAATAAACAAACTCTCAAATAGCCTTTTATCTTCTGCTAGCTTCTGCCCCCTCCCTCTAATGCTTAGTAACATCCCAAGAATTTAAATCTCTAGTCCAGATACTCATTTATCCTGTCCTTCCTTCACAAATGTATTGCTCTTTGTCTAAAAAGTATAAAAGCATGGTGTTCTTGTCATTTCTTTATATTCAGTCTCTTGTACATGTAAATTTAATAAAAGAAAACTTTTGTACTCCTAGATCCTACATAAGAAATAAGGGGTGATAGAGCATATCTCTTTCTCCCCTACACTGGGTTTCTATAATTACCTGTTTATTGTCGTCCCTGCTTAGTTCATCCTATACAACCTACCAGCATGATTTTCCTAAAACATCATTGTTTGTTTCTGCATTGTTAGCCGACTATCTTGCCTAAACTGGCAACCTCCCTGAGCCAGTGTTGGTCCCCACTGCCCCACTAACCAACTTCATTTCACATCGTCAAGTGAGAATTGCACACTTCCAAAAGATGAAAACCTTATGCCTTTTGGGGGTAGGGAGTAGTACTAGGGTTTGAACTCAGGGCTTCACACTTACTAGGCAGGTGCTCTACCAGTTGAGCCATTCTGCCAGCCCTTTTGTGTGTGGGGTATTTTAGAGATAGGGTCTCACAAGCCACTTGCTCTGGGCTGGCTCCAAACTGCTATCCTCCTGATCTCAGCCTCCAAAGGAGATAGGATTATAGGTGTGAGCCAACAGCGCCTGGGTCCCCACTCCCCTTGTACTCTTTAAAAATACAAGTTCATTTTTGATTTCCTATCAGATGCTTCAGCTATCAGTATACTTTTCAGGTTTTATTCCACACATCTAAATGTTTCCATACTTGAAGTGCTCAAACTTTAGCATGAATAAGAATTATGCATGGAGCCAGGGGCTGGTGGCTCACGCCTGTAATCCTAGTTACTCAGGAGGCAGAGATCAGGAGGACCAAGGTTCAAAGCCAGCACGGGCAAATAGTTCTGCAAGACCCTGTCTCGAAAAACCCTTCACAAAAACAGGGCTGGTGGAGTGGCTCAAGGTAAAGTCCCTGAGTTCAAGCCTCAGTACTAAAAAAAAAAAAAAAAAGCATTATGTGTGGTAAATATAGACATTCTGATTGTGTAGGGCCAGGGTAGGGCCCTGGGGAATCTGCATCAAAGCCAGATTCCATGTTGAGTAACACTTGACTTAATTATCGACTCATTTATGGACATTTCCCTTATTATTGCAGCCTTCTGACAAGTAGTCACCTGTGGCATTTCCATTCTGTTTGACTTTTGGTAACTTAACTATGTGACCAATTTATAATTATTTAACTTACAAGTAAACAGCACATTTTGCAAAGTAAACAGAAACTTCAACATTTTGGTTTTGGCCTGGCCATCTGCAAGACAAACTTCTCTTAGTTTTCCAAATCACAAAGGTGGGGAGTGAAGACTTAAGAGGAAGCTTTGCAAATTTCTGCTGCTCCCCTAAGCCACAGAGTTTCTATCAGAGAAGGAATCTTATTCTGTTGGTGGGGTAGGATATGTATTTCTTTCATACTGAGTCGCAATTCTGACTGCAATTTCCCAAAGAGACAGTTATTTATAAATAAGAAAAAGGAAAAACATACTCAGAGTGCCAAACAACCGATTTACATTTTTGGAACACAGTGTTTTGGAAACTGGAGAAAGTGGCCAGTTTTATGCTGTTACTATTACACTTTTGATGGATGTCTGCCTTTCTTGTCTTTTTAACTTTTTGCTTTTCATTTTTTATTTTGAAAAAATTTAAGCCTGTAGAAAAGACACAAGAAGAGAACAATGCATACTATATGTCCTTCAGCTGATTTACTAATAATTAACTTTTTGCCATGTTTGCCTTGTCTCTGTATGTACATGTGTTGAACCATTTAAAAGCAAGTGGCAGACACTTAACTTACTTAACTACTTAACTACCAAGTGTGGTAGACACTTAACAACTCCAACCTGTAGTTACTAATAATGAAATTCTACAGAAGCAAAATACCATGATCATACCTGAGAAAATTAGCTTTAGTTCAATGATGTCATCTAATGAACAGTTTACATTTAAACTTCTCCATAGCTTCACCTCTGATCCAGAATGTAAGGTTTCTGCATGGCATTTGATTATTCTGTCTGTCTCTCCTCTCCTCTCCTTCCCCTCCCCTCCCTTCTCCTCTCCTTCTTTCTCCCCCTCTCCCTTCCCTCCCCTCCCCTCCCCTCTGCTTCTCCCTCTCCTCTCTCCTAGGTAATGGAACCCAGGGCCTCATGCATGCTAGGCAAGTGCTCTACCACTGAGCCACATCTCCAGCTCTCCTTAGTTTCTTTTGATCTAGGACTATGCTGTGTCTGATACAGGACTCAGTAGCTATGTGTAATTATTTATACTTACATTAACATTAAATAAGTTAAAAAGCCAATTTATCAATGACCTAGACACATTTCAATAGCCACATTTGACCAGTGGCTACTGTGTTGGGTGGTATAGACATAGATTATTTCCATCACTACAAAAAGGTCTGTTGGATGACACCATTCTGTAGCAATCCCGTCTCTCCCCTCCCCCGCCCCGCCTCTTTATTTTAAATAATACTGTCTTTCTTCATAAAGAGTTTTGGCTGGTTGTCTTGTAGGAAGTCCCATAGTTTGTATTGTTTGTGTCCTCAAGATTAGGCAAATAGGAGAAACATTTTTGGCAAGTGCCCTCTATAGAGGATGTGTTACACATCTTAGGTAGTTATTAGTGATGCCTACAGTATGTATTCAACAAACACTTATTGAAGAAATTGTCTGCTTCCAGGTACTCTCCTAAGGGCTTGGAAGCTTGACTTCAAAAAGTTTATAGGCTCTCCAGAGCCTGCAATCCATCATTGTCCTAGGAACAGAGAACACAAAGTGAAGACGAAGGTGACCCAGCAAGTGGCACAGAGGAGAGGGATGGACCTAGAGAAGGGTAAGGCTGTGGAGCAACAGCTATTCCTCAGCCCCAAGCTCCAGACTCTCTTCAGTGTTCACAGCATGGTGGTAATTTCTGTGGGGGAGGGTACGGCAGCTTAGAAAAATGCCTGTGACCCAGCCAAGCATTCAGCTGGAAAGCTCTGTAGTAAGGTGCCCAAGGAAACCCTCTCAAGAGAGAGATTGGCAAGTTCAAAGGGCAGCCTGCTCTTCATGCCTTGAGCAGTTTATGAAGTCTAGGGAGTCGTGGAGTATTTAGGGAAACATCAAAAATAGCCTTTACTGCTTGTGTTGCACGATTTGGCTTCTTCCATCGATACCCTCCCTCTTATTCCAATAAGGACCAGAGAAAGAAGAGAGAAAAGGAGCAGAAGCTAGAGAGAAATTTTGGCTTAAAAGACTGAGTGTGTGGTCCCAGCTGTCCTGGGACCCGTGGCTCTGGGAAAGTAGCATAAGCCAAAGGAGTAAGTTGGGAGGATTCTGTTCTAGTTTCATATGTATTTTCTCCTCCTCCTCCCTCCTCCTTCTCTCCTCCCCTTTTTCCTCTCTCCTCTCCTCTCCCTCCCTTCCTCCTTCCTTCTTTCCTTTTTTTAATACAAGGTCTTGCTATGCAGCCCAAGCTGGCCTTAAACTATGTAACCTAGGCTGGCATCAGACTTGACATCTTCCTGCTCCTCCTTTCAAGTGCTGTTCCCGTGTCCAAAAGCAGAAATTAGTGTTCCTATGGGCCGTCCATAGGATGACAACCCACCCCTCCCCAGCCATCTGGAAACACCAAGGGATTACACTGACTGAAGGTATAAACGTATCTCGAGATGGAGTGTTGATGTGAAGAGAAGTTGGTCAGCCTGAAGGCAAAGAAAGGCAAGAATTGACCATACCTCTTCGGGCTCTGTCTGGCAGAGGGACCAGAGTCTCCCAGGAGGATGTGCCCCTCTGTCCTGTGTCTTTATTGCAGAAATTCATGCAGCCAACCAACAAGGGCTGATGCCATTGTATTTATTTTGAAGCTATCGATATCTATGTATGCTTTTTTTGTGTGTGTGGTACTGGGGCTTGAACTCAGGGCCTTCACCTTGAGCAACTCTGCCAGCCCTTTTTTGTAATGGGTATTTTCAAGATAGGGCCTCACAAACTACTTACCAGGCTGGCTTCAAACCACGATCCTCCTGATCTCTGCCTCCTGAGTAGTTAGGATTACAGGCGTGAGCCACCAGCGCCTGGCCTATTTTTTTTTTTTTCTGTAGTACTCGTGTTTGAACTCAGGACCTTGTGCTTGCTAGCCAGGTGCTCTGTCATTTGAGTCATGCCTCCAGTCCTTGGATGTCTAAAACTAACTCGTCTGCTAGGATTCCAGACTTCCCAGGTACCTCCTGATCATCTGTTCTTCCATGAAGTTTGTTTGCAGGGAACAAATGTACTGGTCAGGCTGATGTGCCTGTCCCGCCCACTAACCAGGTTGCATCTGGTCTCATGGACAGGCCTCTATGAATTTGTGGGTGTGAGTCAGCTCCCCGTGTGACATAATTTCTGAATGGGTCTGGGTTTCTGAGCCCAGAGGATGAGGCTAGACTCAGGGTCATGGTGCATTCCCCAGTGGAGGCCTCTTGGTGAAGCTGGCATTCCGTACTGCAGAGTTGGGTTCTCCAAATGTAACAACTTCTTTACTCACTGGTTCCTTAGTGTTCTCCCAGATTGTGTATTCTGAGTATTTCTTTTCTTACTTTGCTACTGAAAGTTCAGCTGATTCAACCCATGTTATATCATTGTAATAATAAAGCTTCTTTGTGGTGTTGCACCACAAAGAGGTCATTATTTTCCCATTTCAGGGATCATAAAAGGCTAATAATGGCCACAAGATGAGAGAGCTAGTATCCAAATCTTTGTCTGTTTACCTCTATTACTATTTTTTAGTAATGTGTGGTGGCATATACCTGTAATACCAGCACTTGGGAGGCTGATGCAGGGGGACTGTGAATTTGATGCCAACCTGAGCTATAGCACAAGACCCTGTTTAAACCAAAAAAAAAAAAAAAAAAGAAAGAAAATTAAGCTGTGTGTAGGGACTAAGGTGATTTCCAAGAGAAGAGTATAGTATTCTCTGTGTTTTTTTCTAAGAGTTTCCTAATTTCAAGAGGCTGGCAGAATGGTTCAAGTGGTAGAGCACCTCCCTAGCAAGTGTGAGGCCCTGGGTTCAAATCCCAGTACCACAAAAAATTAGCATTTAATATTAGAGTTTCCTCATTTCAAAAGCGGGCAACAGAACCCTTACTTATTGACATGATAGTAAAAAGAGTATGTCCTGATTGGAAAAGGCAACCTGGTAGTTGTGTCTGGCTTAGAGGAACAGAATTCTAGGTTCTTCTCAGAGGATTCTAGCTGCTAGCTTTGACCCTATATAACCTAGATGCTAAGTCAAGTGAGAAATACAGAATGCAGACATGAGCGGGCACATGATGGATTGTTCTGTCTTCCAGAGCAGTGAGAAAATGAGTGGTTATCTCTTGGGACCTCGGGCAATGTTGACATCTCCCTCTGCTTCTCTGAACCTATATGGAAGGGCAATTTGCTTTTTGGCCTTCCACTCAGACCAGAGTAATATTTTGTCTTTGACATCTGGGGTAGGTCAGTTATCTGCTTAAAATCTTCAGTTTCTCTGTCATGGATTTCTAACTCCTAAAAAAGCCAAACACTTGAAAGTTATACACATGACAGTTCATGGCAGACAAAGAGAGATAAAATGTGTCTCAGGCAGGTCACAGTTTGGCACTCCCTTAAAACAATGTTATTTGTTCAAAATTTCCTTCACTTAGCATTTGACTATAATGCAAAGTATTTATGTTCAAAATAAAGAATTTGTATCATATGAAGATAATTATGACAAAACATTCAAACTTAGTTGGGTTTTGTCACTAATAGCTAGATAGGATTAGTCACTGACACTTAACTATATACATGAATACAGTCATAAATTATATTTAAAAATTCCTTCCTGATTGGCTAAACTATCTTTAATTTTTTGCAATTTGTTTTCTTTTTGGTGATTTAAAGAAAAATCTTCTAAGTTTCCTTGGAGCCAAATTAAAAGACTTAGACAATGAAACACAGTACAGTACAGTGAAAGCCCTGTACTGTGCATCAGTGTTTCTGAATTTTAGCTGAAGGAGGCTAGTAACTTTAGGAGGCTGTAAGCTGACTGATCTCAGGGTTGGAAATGCCCCTTGTTACTCTATTGCAAAACTATCGACAGAGATAGGCTGGTGCCTGGGAGGTGTGTTTTAAAATGACCATTGGAAAACTGTATTTTAATAGACAATTGAAAATTTGCAGTAATGGGTCTCATGAGCAAAATGGAGCTAGCTGGTACCGAAATGATCCTTATAAAGGGGCACCGTGGTCAGCCATTTCATCTGGCTCCAGGCACTATAGAAAAGCATTGGGCTGAGAAACCCCTGGGTATATATCATCAACTTGGGCAGGGTATTTAACCTCTCTGGTCCCCAGTTTCTCTGGCAAAATGGTGATATCTATTTCATAGTTATTACAGATAATATTAAAGTTGTAAATAAGACTATTATTATTTAAAAGTATTCTGTACAGTATAATATACTGCATAGAAAAACTCTATAAATAATTAACAAGCAATTATCCTCTTTTCATTAACTCTTAATAGCCTATTAATATATGGCTGCCTCAAAGAGTTCATCCTAGAGCCCAGGGCTGTTGGAAAGGCTGGCTTCTCAGATTCATAAATGTTCAACACCCAGTTTATGCCACGTAACACTGCAAGGTATCCTGGGAGCTGTGTCCTGTGCAGACAGTGGTTCCCAGCAGAGGGTTGGGACTCAAGACAGCCCTGGGGTAGGGCTGCACTTTGACTGCTGTTCTGTATCTGCCATCAGAAAAATTGCCTCATCACAAGTATATGCGTCTCACAGGTTGTGAGTCACCCTCTGCACTCCAGGTTTTTTGGAACTATTTGCAGTTCTCAGGGCATCAGGCTTTCTTGCTTAGCTCATGGTTCCCTCTGCCGGATGGCTCTTTCTCTCCCTTTCTTCAAGGTCAACTCCTTAGCATCCTCTAAGACTTATTTCCTTGACCCCCATGACTTTGATTAGGTGCTGTTTCCATCTGCCTGACCCCTTAGCTACCTTACTTATCCCTGTGGTCAGTGTGGTCATTGCCTTATTATTGGTTTACATTACTCCCATAATGCTATAGTTTGGATCAATGTCTCTTAATGGCCCATGTGATAAAGGCTTGGTCTCAGCTTGGAGCTATCGGAAGGTGGTGGAAACCATTATGGATTGGGGCCTGATGGGAGGTTTTAGGTTTGTTTGGGGTGTCCTTGAAGTGGACTGTGGAATATAGGTCCCCTTTGTCCCTTCCTGTATCTCTTTGCTTTTTGGCTGCTATGAGCAGCTTGCTCCCTGACATAATGTTCTGCCTCACCACAGCCCCCAAAGCAATGGGACCTATTAAATATGTCCTGCAACCTCTGACTGTGAGCCCAAATAAGCCTTCCCTCTTTAGAAGTTTATTACCTCAGCCAGGGTACTTTGTTACAGTAATGAAAAGTCAACTAACATACCCACTTTGATACAGATTAGTACTTTTGGGCTTAGTGTGTACCAGGCACAGAACTTACTGCTTTATGCACATTACCTTCATCAAACTTGTCTCACAACTACCCTATAAAATCAGTATTAGTATAGCTTGTAAGCAGAAGAGCTAGAATTTGAACCCAGGCATGACACCAAAACCCTTTGTGGTCAACTGAAGTATTCTACAGGCTTTCAAGACATGAGTGCAGTGAAGACAAATAGTAAGTACTCAGCAAGTAATAGCTATTGTTATTTTAACCAGACCCAATTGTAAACTTCTTCACAGAAAGGAGCCTAACCCATAGATGCTCACACCCCAATACTGAGACTGAGTAAACGCACGGAGACCACAGGCCACAGTATAATCTTGAGAGGAAGGACCCTGCATTTGGCTTCTAGAACAAGTCCTAGAATGCCACTATTTCTCAATAAATGACTGATGTGTTTTTTACCACATCATCTCTATTGAAGAGATGTTTAATTGCTTGTCACATTTTGATCCCTTGCATATTTCTGAGGAGGGGGTGGGAGTACACAGGGAGCCCAAGAAAACAGTTGGAGCTTTTTGATGAGACACATAGAACACTAACCATCTAAATAAACATCCTCTTTATTTTACCAAATATAATTTATCAGTTAAGTTGACATTTGTCAATTCAGTTATACCAACTATAAATAATTCTCTTAAGACACAGTTCTGTAACTTTTGAAGGATACGAGAGTAAACCGATATTGTTCCTTGCAGCCAGGCCGAAGTACATGCAGTTGGTGCAATCAAGGGGAAAGAATCGAATCTTCCATTGCAGTAACTTCATTTTCCTTCCCTCTCAACCCACAGTCCTCCTCTGCTCACACACTCCTTGAGCCTGGGGTATACCAACCTTTCTAGGCAAAGAAGGAAGGTTGCTCCAGTCTCCAGGACAGCCTGGCCAAACACCACACAAGAGGATGGGGTGAGTGGCTGGGGAAGGGGAGGCTGGGAATCACAGGGGCACAGCCTCAGTGTTTGGTGCCTGTACAAGAGTCTGTGTGCAAGTGTTTTGAGGTGGAAGGAAAGATGAAAGGAAGTGAGAGAGAAGAGCAGAAACAAGCCCAGGTTGGTGTTAATGAACTCTGCTGGACAGAACTCCAACTAACCTCTATGATTCCTTCCAATTCTAGGGTTCTATGATTCCAGAGGTGGCCTGGGAGAAAATGGAAGGAGAGAAAAATTTCTGGAGGTTCAGGACAAAGCTCCCAGGATAAGGCGTGGTGATGGTAGAAACAGGGCATTGTCCACACCTTCCCTTGCAGGCAGAGCCTTTAGAGTACACAGGGGAGAGCATATGGGGCAGTTCCTAACAGACAGGTTAGTAAAAGCCTGCATTCCAATGCCCATATTTGCATCTTGGAGTGTGGACAGTTTTCTGAGCTGTTTGGAGTAACATGTGGGGAAGAGGCAGAGGCTCCAGTTTTCTCCCAATTTTCTGCTAGGCAGAGAGATGTAGAAACATCCAGTTGAGGTCCAGCTTGCTGGTTCTAAATCTTCTTTTGGGTGTATGGTACAGAGTTAAGGGAAGGGGAAGAAGAATAGTTTAGGGACACAAACACTGGTTGAGCAATGGGGCTGATAGCTCAAGCTGCGGCCATCACAGCAAAGTTGGGGTCTGGAGGGAGAACAAGGCAATAATACCTTGCTTGGTGAAGTAGAAAAATACCTACAAGAGAACTTTCTCTGCCAGACTGAAAGGGGCACATGACCTCTGAAACCTGGGCAATGAGGTGAGGTTAGAGCTGTGATTCCTTACCACTGGCTAGTCAGTGCCAGCACAGTACCCCTAATACATAGTAGGTACCCAATAAATATTGCTCAATGAATGTCTCAGACCATGCTTGCAGAAGAGCTCATCTTGCGGAGGCTGCATATTTGCTGAATGAGTGAATGAATGATGAATGTCTGCAGGCAGAAGCCAAGAGAGGACAACTGACCTTCATAGCACAATAGGAGTGCTTTTAGGAAGTGACAGAGGCCAAGGTGACCCCGTGATTATGTATTCAGGAGAAACAGCAGCAATACAATAAAACACCTCTGGTTGCCTCAACCTCCAAGACATTCTTCACATGTCCTTATTTTGTCCCTAATCTTGGAACCCCACCTGGCAAGCTCTGGGGGGAAAGGGAGTGCTTAGAGGAGGGTTGAACAGAGACAGACTCAGTCCTCTGGGCCCAGGGAGGATGTGGATCTTGGGAAACCTATGAGTGACATGGATCCACAGGGAGCCCAAGCCACTGCTCATCTCCTCCTGGATGAGACATCCAACTGGAAAACAATCAGAGGGAGGTTGGTGATGTTCATCAGACAGCTGGCAAGTCATGTGTACAAATCAAATGGTCAGTCACCTTGACTCTGAGAGCAAGAAGGCCAAGTCCAGAGAGCAGAGAACAAGGTACGATTATAGGAAGCCTAAGGCAGCTGCTTCCTGCCCAGTGCTTTGAAGTTGGTCCATTTCTACAAAAGTAGGTGTGTGTGGCGGGGGAGTGTTACCCATGCCTCTGTTCAGCCAAAAAGAACTGAAAAAACAAAACCCAGAGCCCATTCACATAGGATTTCTCATTAGGGCCGAGACTGAAGTTCCTAAAGCTAAACCAAATGTCCTCAGATTCTAGACAGAATCCCCTCCTTTCCCAATCCACCTCACCTGGAGGCACCCACCATGGAATTGCACTTGGTGATTGTCTCAAAAGTCTACTTGTTCTGCTTATCTCAGTCCATCCATCCTTCCTGGATTCTTGCTATCCAAACTTAGCTAAATGTATAAAAATTCCCATTGAAAATAATGAGAATTTGGTATCAAAGTGAAGTCCCAGAAAGAGGTGGAATATAGGGTGGGGTAGGGATGGAGGAACAAAACAGAAATTCCCAAACAGAAAGTGCAAAGGGATGGGGAAAAGGATGAGTGGCTAAGCTAGTCCCCGACATCTGTGTCTCGGTCCCCAATAAGCCAGAGGACATGGAAGCTGAGTGCCAGAAGCCCAGTGCCAAGTAGGTCCCCCAGAGCAGTCAAGTACGGGATGGAGAAGTTGTCTGGGTCCAGGCCCCGGCCCCACATCCAGTGCACCATCCAGTCTGCGATGTACAGCAGAATCAGCACCTGGAGAAACAGAAGGGCTGCCTGTAGCCATCTCCTCTCTCCAGGGGGAGCCAGAGGCCACATGGTTGGACCCATTCAGTATATCACAAGGCTTAGTAGCCACAATCCTTATGTTTGACAGTTCACCTTCCCACCAGGGTAACCTTCTCTCCGTTCCTACGCCCGCTAGTTACCAACAGGCAAATGAAAGTTTGTTAGAGAGGATGCTGCTGCAATGGCTGGGGTCACCCACTCCAGCATTACATTCTGCTCCCACATTCACCAAAACAGGGGCTTCCTAATTTAAGTCCTACCCACGCAGGAATTCAGCCTTCTTGCCTCTAATTCTGGGTCAGCCCATTCTTGGTTGCTCCAGTTGCTGTCATGTTGGCCTCTCTAGGAGCCTGGTGGGGGGCTGGCAGTTGGTGTCAGGGATTTCTTCTTGAACAGAGTAGTAATAAAGGGTAGTGTCTGAGGCTGCTGCCAGCCTTATAATCTGAGTAACACTTGATTATCCCTGACTTTTCCCATTCTGCTGTTGTGAGTTCAAAGAATGCAAGTTTATTTTCACATTAGTCCTAGCAAAATAAAATTATGGGTAACTCAGCTAAATATAAAGCAGATTACAATGCATAGCAATTCAGAATACATTTTGGACTATCTACTGATTCATCTGTGCCATTGCTTACCTCCTATTACTACAGATAATTAAGAATGCTCAAGATCAGAATCTTGTTATTAGAATGAGTAACATCAACTACTCATTCAGAAATGTAGAATCTTGGACCTCACACTGGACCTTATCAGAATCTGCATTTTAACAATATTCACATGCATTTTGAAATTGGAGATGCACTTAATTTAGGACACTATGGGAGATGGGCCTGCATCTGCACAGTACCTGACATTTGGGCTCCCTAAATGACTGCATGTGTGTGAGAACGAAATAGTTTCCAATGATTAAGTCCCAACACAACTATCTGGGAAGTTTTGCTCTTGACTGTGCTTTGCAAATACTGTGCTATAAAATTCTGCCCTAAGGGACCCAGATGCAGGACTGGAATTCTTTTTTTTTTTTTGTGGCACTGGGGTTTGAACTCAGGACATCACACTTGATAGGCAGGCACTCTACCACTTAAGCCACTCCACCAGCCCAGGACTGGAATTCTTAAGGGAGCCAGAAGCCAGAGTTAATACCTATTTTTAGGTAAACTCTGTTGCTTCCTGTCCTCTCTCCAAGGAAGCCAGGGGTTACAGTTCCAGCACCCTTCATGCTCCCCTCACCCTGCATGCAGCTGCCTTGTATGCTTGTGGCCCTGGCCATGGGTGAGGTCCAGTGCCCCCGTAACTTCACACCCTTTCCAACAGCTGCAGGAGTCCCATTTAAAGAGTGCAGCCAGGGGGCCTTTGGAACACGCCCCAGGATGGCAGCAGCTGTCTTCACATCTAGCCTCCTAAGCAGCCTCAGGACCAAGCAGCTGGGAGGAGGGAGGAGGCAAAGGGATAAGGAAGACTTCACAGGGGATCAAGTGTCACTTTGCTCCTCCACAGATCTACAGAAGAGGGCAGAGAGAGTGTCCTGAAGGTATTCATAAAGGGTAATGGAGCCAAGGCTTATCCTCTCAACATGGGCCAAGGATGAACTGAAAACTCCCACTATAGACTCTCAGCATGCCCACTCTCTCTCCTTTCCCATCAGCCAGTGCTCTTGACCCCATGTGCAAGGGAGTGTGGCAATTTGGGTAACTGCTGCTGGGGAAATGTATAGGGTTGATTCTGAGCCCACTCCTTATGAAGACTCCTAACATACAACGTTTCTAAAATTGGAGGTGGGAGGTTAGAAGGATACGGTTTACCAACTGGGGATTGGATAAATGAAATGTAGTAACATCATGAGGGAGAAAGAATCTTACTATTACAGAATGGCAGGGCTGGACTGACTCCTTCAGATGGATTATCTAGACAGTACCTTTGATGCTTTTTTCAAGCTGCTGGAACCCTTCATGTGAATGCAAAACAGAGTCAAGTAGAGTTCTGTGGCCACGCAGAGGGGGAGGGAGGTGGAGGTAGGGAGGGAAGGGGGTGGCCACAGTCTACTTGCTGAGCATCCTACAACCTCCTGCCTGAAAATCACCACCTCTGGTTCATTTTTCTCAATTTGTAAATGCATCATTGAGGTTCAGAGAAGTGAAACATGTTAGTGACTCTGCTGGAGTCATGGTCTGTTCTCCTAAGTCCCAGCCAATGTTTATTGGCTGCCTAGACCCAAAGAGGTGACAGGATGTCTGATGGGCCAAGCCTGGGCCTCCTCTCCCACTAGTGCAGGGTGACTCTGGCCCCACCCCATGCCCATGCTCCGGCTGGGCTGTACCTGAAGCAGTGCAGCTGTCATGTAGAAGATGATGAAGATGAGTGTGAGGGTGGTGTGCCCACCCTGCATACAGCTGATGGTGTAGAGGAACACCAGGTGTCCTGGGACCACAAGGAGGAAGAGGACCCGGGCTGAACGGGAATTCACATCTGGGACCAGAGGAGAGAGAGTGTGAGGACAGAGAGAGTCTTGGCCCCAGAAGGTCACAGTCAGGAGGTCCCACACCACACTCCAGGGCAGCAAATGGCTGACTGTCTCTGTTTCTCCATTCTGTGGTTCCCAGGCCTCAAGGGTGGCACAGGAAAAGACTACCTTCTTGCCTGGGCTAGGCTCTTCAGAATGGCTGGCACAGTCCAGCAGAGTAGAACCTTAGACCTACCAGAGTAGGGCCCCAGTTATTCAGGATTGTAGGCTCCCTCCCTCCAGGGCAGAACCAGACTCAGGAGGCTGAACCTCTGCCATTACCAGGACTGAAGAAGGTGGTGCAGGGACTGGGGCAGCGGCGAGGAACTTGCTCAGAGTTTTCCCCCGGCATCCCATTCATGTGGAGGAAGGTAGAGATGCGGCTGGCTTGTACAGCCACCAGATTCCCCCCAACACCTGCAGAGACACACAGGACTCAGACTCAGAATAGCACTTGTCTTCTGTCTGTAGAAGCCTGTCCTCTATCTTCATTTAGGGTCTGTGTAGACATTGCCCAGTCCCCAAGAGAAGAACAAGACACTACAAGGAAGAAGATAAATACATCCCTGCTTCCAGAGTCTTCCAAGCTCCTCTGTCCCCACCTCTGTGGAGATATGGTCATACCACATGCCTCTGGAGAGGCTGTGAGAGTGCTGGCAAGGATCTGGGCAATCTGTGGTTCCTGAGCCTGACTCCTCCTGTGTGCAGCATGTGTACCTGCCTGCCTACCTGGTGGAGGGCACCAAGCTGCCTTGCTTCCTCCCCCTCTAATGCTCGGAGCAGACCCAGGCACCCAGTTCTTATATCCTGGTTCCAGTAAACAGTTTCCAGTAGTGGGTTTTATTTCTAGACTCTGGAGTTTGGTATTTCTCCCAGGAACTTGCTGGTTACTGTTTGCCTTCATACCACAACCTAGTTAGTTCCTGTGCTTCTCAGTCTTGCCCTGAGTCCTGGGAGGTTGACTTCAGCAGGCTGCATCCCCTAATTGCCCTTACTGGCTGTTTCTACTCAGGCTTGTGCAGGTTAGCAGTGTAGGAGGAAAGAGATTTCTTTCTGGACCCTGCTCTGCTTTTTAGTAGGGCTTATCCCCTATTAGGAACAGAGAGGATCTTTCACTTGGCTCTTACCACGTAATTTCTGGGTTCCATTGGCCTTTAGGACTAAATTGTTGCTAATCTCTGGATGCTTCAACATCCCATTAGTCCTCTTCCCTTGCTTCCATCTCATAAGTAGTCCCTTCATTAAAGTGTGGAACTCTGTGAGCTGGATTCTCTTGAGTGCTGGAATGCTGACTGATGCAGAAGTCAACCCCTTAAGTCCTCTTCCCCTGTCCCTCTCTTTTCCCTCCTGACACCTGATGCCAAGACTTTACCATTAATCACAGGTGTGAAGACAGCCATCCCTGCAAAGTTGGGGTCTGAGACAGTCTTGTCCAAGATGAGGCCTCCCACACTAGAGAGACACAAAGACAAAATGACACAAAGACCATTGAAGGGTTCTGCTCTAGTCCTTGGAATGACAGGCACAGGCTCCTAGGAGTTTCTCCTTTTCTCAGTCCTCATCTGCCTTGCCAGAACCAGTTGCTTCTCATAACCTCCTAATGTGGCACAGCGACCACCAAAATGAATTGGTGGTGCTGGGTTGGGCAGCTGCCTCTTGTACCTACCCTCCAAATTGGCTAGAGGAGCCATTGCAGAACTATCTGCCTGTGAAGACCTCTGTTGTTCTGCCTGCTCCATATTTCCCTTTCTAGTAATGTATTGGGCTCCTCCTCAAGGAACCACCTCTCTCAAACTCAAGTCACTGTGGTTCAGGTGACACTGCTTCAATAATGTCTAGGCTCCAGGCCATTCAATCAGAGTACTGCATTCTCAAGGCCAGAGTGATTGGTTTAAAGATAGGTAGATATGTGGCCAGATGAGAACCAATGAAATTCTGTCTAGGACTTTATGGCACTGTTGGGGGAAAGAATCTCTGTCTTCCCACTGAAATTGGTAAAAACAAAAAAAGTGTAAGCCAGGCCATGTATGGTGGCACATGTCTGTATTCCCAGTAGGAGGCAGGAGGAACATGAGTTCAAGGCTAGCTTGGGCTACATAGGGATTCTGAGGCCGGCATGGGCTACACAGTGAACCCTCTATTTTTTTCTGGAGGGGTCAATTTCTGGGCATCAGGGCTACATCCTTGCTAGGCAGGAGCCCTATCACTTGAGCCACTCTGTCAGCCCTTTCTTGCGTTGGGTATTTTTGAGGTAGGGTCTCTAGAACTATTTGCCTGGGCTGGTCTCAAACCATGATCCTCCTGATCTCTGCCTCCCTAGTAGCCAGGATTGTAAGTGTGAGCCCCTGATGCAAGACCCTCTTAAAAAAATCATAAACCTGGACTATAGGCCATCACAAAGAAAAGCAGAGGTAAGAGACGAGAATCCAGGGGCCCTGATTAATATGTGCCCTGAATCCAGCTGTGCCTTTTCAGTTCTCTAAGCCAATGCATTCTGCTTTGGAAAGAAACCCAGTTCAGATGGTTTCCTCACTTGCAACAGAAGGATGCGTGACTGACACTGTTGAATGCGTTTTTTAGGGTCTGCCCTATATCCTGTCTCTTCAGGATTGAAAAGGGAATCTTTGGCAGAGTGGGGGTAGGTACTCAGGGTCCCAGCCTACCTGCTGATGGCCATAGCAATGATGACAGGTTCCCAGCCTGAATACAACACTTCCCTTGTGGCTGGGCTCCGTCGGGCCAGCACCACCCAGACAGGCAGCAGGGCCACAAAGAAGACACACACCAGGGGGTAGATGTATCGCCAGTGCTCTGGGAAGGCAGAGATCAGAGGGAGATGAGCACTCTGATTTCTGCTCCCAGAGACTCAGCCTGCAAATGTCCCAACGGACCAATGGATCAACAGCAATACTACACTAAACACCTATAAGCATCACCTCATTCGATCTTTACTATAAGCCCAGGAGGTAGGTGGAGCCAGCCCTGTTCATTTCGTAGACTAGGAAACCAAGGTAGGGAGTTACGCAGGCACTAAACTTAGGGGCAGAGACCAGACTCTAGGTCTTTTGATTTGATTCTAGAAATCACTACCTCCCAACCGCCTTTTTCACTTTGCAAGCAAGATTCCAGCCTTTGGTGCCCTTTCTGCTTCACCCCTTCAAGACAGCAAGATTCATAGGACCAAGCAGGAATAGATTTCTGATACTCTCCCATTGGCACTTGCTGCCTGTTTGAAGTTGAAATCAGTTCTTATTCTCCTCTCTCTAAGATCAGGAGTTACGACAAATTGTTCAAACAAATAATTAAGAACACAGAAGAAATCCTCACAGTTTTGCAAAATAACCCCCATCTCTCCCAGTCCCACCCTGGAGTCCACCTGAGCCACTCTCGGTGGCCTCAGTATCACTCAGTTCCAGGTAGAGTCCCCAGCTGATGCCTGAGAGCAGCGCCAAGGTGATGAGGTCACCCAGGCTGGCAGCAATGGGTGTGGCCACGTTGTCTGGGTTGATTCCAATCTTGCGAGAGCCAATGATGACTCCAATCATGATCATGCCTGGTGAGGAAGGGGAGGCGGGCAGACAGGGTGAGTATATATAAAGGGGTGTCAACAAATGAAAAGGGAGAGTTGGAGGTGCTGGGTGGGGAGGGCTGCCAACCCCTTTGGAGCAGTTTCCTTACTCCTGTGTCCCTTTCCCTTCCTTACCCAGCACGAGGGAGGCGATGAAGGCCGTGGCCACACTGCTGGCACACAGCAGGAAGGCATGTGGGATACTGAAGTGTCCATCAGGGATCCAGCCAAAGACTACAGCTGCAATGGATGCCAGGAAGCCCACCACCGTGGCTTGCACCTGAGGAGAGGCATGATGATGTGGTGAGCCTGGAGCAGAGAGCTCCTTAGTGGAGGCCACTGAGCACTCAGGGGACTTCCTTCTGGCCTTGGCAGCCCCAGGAAGCAGGCTGGATTGGACTGTCCAGTCCTCCCACACTGGAAGGATGTCTTTATTTATTTAGTTTCACACCAGACACTAGTACTGGGCAGTGCACTCAGCAGGAGTCTAGGACATGTTACTGGCTGAGCAGGCCTTCCTCTGGGGATAGGATGAGGGTCAACAAACTGGAGGCTTCAGTACAGAGTCAAGGCCTAGAACTCAAGGGGGAAGACACCCAGTCTGAAACCTATGTGGCCTCCTGGAAAGATGGGACAAGAGAGGACACTTTAGCACTCCTGAATTTGCTCCTATTGCCAGGATCTGTGGGGGCTTGAAGACCCCGTACCCTTTGGAGCCTAGACATGGGACATGGGAGATGCTGGGGCTCTTCCCATATTGGCCTTTTTCCTGGGTAATAGGTTACCTCCTAGAGCCATTTTGCAGGAGGCTAAAGATCCACTAAAGAGCCAGTGGGGCCAACCTAAGCCTTACAGACATTCCTGACTAAGGAAGAAACTTAGCCCACCTTCTCTGGTCCCTGCTTTTACCTGGATGAGGGCCATATTTCCGGTGATCATACGCCAGAGCTCCTTGGGGGTGTCCATTTGTCCAATGTTGGCCTGGGAGAGGAAGGGTGAGGGGCTGGAGCTCCAGGCTAGAGAAGGCCTGGGGCTCCATCTATCAGACCCCTGCCTGGATCAAAAAGCAGTGCATGTAGCCTTAGACTCTGGAACCAGGACATGAAAGTCCTAGAAAAGTGGAGTAGGACAAGGGGACTGGGGTAAGAGAGAAGCTAAAGAGTGAGCTCCTGCAGCTGGGAGGTGGTGGGAAGGGAACTCCCAAGGCAGCTGTATCTCTCTCTCCTTCCCAGATTGCAGTGAAGCCAAGGCAGATTCCATCCTCTGCCTTGCTTATCTGGGCAACTCACTCCTGTCTGGATCAGCACAACCCAACCCTGGCTCTGCAGCAGCTTGCTCTCCTAGGAAAGGAAAGGTTGGCAGCTGGTACAAGGATTGAGGCTACAAATATCTGGGAAAGAGCATGGGTGGCACAGGCCAGGAGTAGGGAAGAACAAGTTGGGATGGGTTAGGCTGGTTGCCCTTCTCTTTGCCATCTTCTCCAGATTCTAGGCCATGTAGGAACATCCTGGCTTCATCAGTTTTATTGCCTCCTGCTTCCAATGCCATGGTCCTGTATCTGGCTAAGGGATCATGGCCGGTCTAAGGGGTCATGAGAAGTGGGAGTGATGAACAGCCCTTAAAGAACAAGCTGCCTTGGGGAAAGGGAATGGCTGGGAGCGGGCTGGGAAGGCTTGGCTCTATTCCTGCCCAGCTGCAGAGTAGGGCAGGAGATCAGAGGCGGCCCCCACCTGTGCGGGTGGAGGGACCAGCATGCTGCCTGCCTGTCAAAGCTGCATAAACAGTCACGAGGCAGGTTGCAAAGCAGGGGGTGGGGCAGGCATCCAGGGATGGCTGGGACATCTAGAAACTGAGCCTGGGAACCACGTTGGGTAGGAAGCCCCTGTCCAGGCGTAGGACACCCAGTCTGGGATCTCCCTACACCTGCCCAGCTAGGCCCTCCCTTCACACCCAGCCCACACTCCAGGCACAGGCAGTGGAGTCACCACCTCCCAGTCTCTGGCTCTGTGCTGCCCACAGTCTTCTCTGTGCCCCCCACAGTCTTCTCTGTGCCCCCTCCTCCCAGCTAGGACACTCACTGCGGTGGACAGTCTTGACGCCAGGGTCATTTCTAGGTTCCCCTTGAGCCCCAGCAGCGCAGGCACCAGGATGAAGACCTCTGTCACCTTCTGGAAGACCTCCCAGTGCTACAAGGTGAAAATAGAGTCCAGGAATTTCAGTGCCCCAAAGGGCTGGCATGGAGGATGAACAGTGTGAGATCAGGGGCTGGAAGAAGAAACAGGATCTGCAGGAGTGAACACACTAGCAGCCCTTCCTCCAAGAATCCTGGAAGTAGACTAAGTCCATGGATTCCAAAACACAGTTCCCCTTCTTGCCCCAGAACAGGGGAGACCCCTGGCCTGGCCCAGCCCTACCTCCTTGTGCCTGCTTTTCTGAAGGCAGGAGAGAGTAGTGGGGACCCACACAGCAGAACCACCCTAAGCAGGTTTATGTGCTAGACCCTTTTGTGATTTCCAACCCCTCAGATAACGCTATCCAGCCGCTTTGCCTTTAGTCCAGTTTCTCTGTGGTCTCAGCCTTGGGTGGTGTTATCTCAGCTGTGGAGAGTTGGGCTGCACGGGGCTGGAGCTGGGGAGATTAGAGCGTTTGTTTGATTTCTATCTCTAAGGGCTTTGGGCCTCAGCCATGGCGACTCTCCTGAGCAGGCTCTGACTTCAGACTATGCTCCTCCAGCTCTGAATGCTGGTCTACAAGGGACTTTTTACTCCCTTTACGTATGCCCTCATCCTGCATATTCTTCCCAATCTCTCAGTATGGGGAAGCAAGTGTACCCCTATAGGAAGAGCCCTGCCCGAGGAGTCAGAAAACGTGGTTTCTAGTCCTGAGACAATCAGTCTTAGCTCTCCTACCAGTTTCTTTGGCGGACATCTATTAAATGTATTTTCTTATTTATTCATCTCAACAACCCAATGAGATCTGGATTATTTTTATCCCCATTCTGTACATGAGGAAAATGAAGTTCAGAGAGTATGACACTAGTTAATGGCCCTGAGGGCTACTTGGTTTGCTTTATTTGATCCTTTATTTGTTTTAAGAATGGAAAGCCTCCAGGTTTGGAGAGGGAGAAAGGGCAGGCAGCAGGGCAAAGGTATGCAGGTTGGTCTGGGTATCGTGGTCTGAGACAAAGAGTTGTAATGGCAAGGGCACTGGACTGAGAGCCTTGGGTCTATAAGCGACACAGAGAGAGACTTCATGCTGCCTCCCCACACTGACCAGCTGGGGACCTCAGGCACGGTACAGGGACCTCAAGCTCCTATCTAAAATCTTCAATTCAGGGGCTAGATCAGATGGACTCTAAAGGCAATTCCAGCACTGCTACTCTATTGTTAAAGATGAACAAGACTGCAGATCAAAACCACAGTGGGATAACACCTCACACCCATTAGGATGACTACTATAAAACAAACAAGCAAGCAAGCAAACAAAATAACAAGTGTTGGATGTGGAGATTGGAACCCTGTGCACTGTTGGAGGGATTGTAAAATGTTGCAACTACTATAAAAAACAGTATGGCGGTCCTTGAAAAAATTAAAACTAGAACTGCCACATGATCGAGCAATTGCACCTTTGGATACTTATTCAAAAGAACTGAAAGCAGGATCTTGAAGAAATATTTACATAGCCATGTCCACAGCTACATTATAAACAATAACTAAGAGGTAGAAGCAACTCAAGTGTCCATCAACAGATGAATGGACCAGCAAAATGTGGTATGTATATACAGTGGAATATTAGCCTTAAAAAGGAAAGATATCCTGTCATGTGCTACAGATATGGATGAATCTTGAGGACATTATGGCCAAGCAAGCCATTCACAAAAAGACAAACATAAGATTCCAATTCTATGAGTTATCTAAAGTAGACACATCCATAGGAACAAAAAAAGTAGAATGGTGGTTGCCAGGGGCTGAGGGGAGGGAGAAAGGAGTGAGTGTTTAATGAGTATAGAGTTTTAGTTGGGGAAGACAAAAATGTTCTGGAGATCTGTTGTAGAACACTGTGAATATATGTAACACACTTAAAAATGATTATGATCATAAATTATATATATACATACACACACAATATATATATATATATATTTTTTGTGGTAGTGTGGTTTGAATTTAGGGTCTTCACCTTGAGCCACTCCACCACCCTTTTATTTTGTGTATGTGAAGGGTGTTTTCAAGATAGGGTCTCGTGAACTATTTGCCCAGGCTGGCTTCGAACCATGATCCTCCTGATCTCTGCCTCCTGAGCAGCTAGGATTACAGGTGTGAGCCACTAGGGTCCAGCTAATATATACATATATATATATATATATATATATATATATATATATATATTTAACACTACATATATACATATATGTATGTATATGTGTATATATACATATACATACATACATACACATATATGTATGTATATATGTATATGTGTATATATATATATATATATATATATACACATTTTTTTTTAACACAATAAAAACAACAAAAAAAGATGAGAGGGGGCTGGAGCCAGAGCTAGGCACTGGGTGGTCCCATAAAGCAAGGACCTTTCTTTTCTCATCAGAACTCTCTGTGGGCTCTGGGGATGTTGGGGAGGGGCTTATTTCATCAGGGTTAGAACATGCCCTTGTCTGAGCTCCTGGATCCTTCTTAGGGTCTCCTAAAGGACCTAGGACTTTCCTTAGGAA